AAGAAAAAAAAAAAAAAAAAGTGGGAGGCGGACGCGCAACTGAGCGAGTCCGTGAGGAAAGTACAGAGAAGTGTTGGTGGTGAACTTACATCACCGAGCATCGACTGGCGTGTGTGTGTGGTACCGAGAAGAACGGAGGAAAAGAGAAACAAAAGGAAGGAACAGAGGCGGCAAAAGAGCACGTGTGGAGCATCCGTCAAGCAGTTTGCGATTTCCAAAAGAACAAAAGAGGGGGGGAGAGAGAGAGAGAGAGAGTGGGGACAAACAAACGAAGGAAGGGAAAGGAAACCAGATTGTGTGGGTGTGAGTGTGAGTGTACATCTTTCTGTGGAGGAAGGCGAGGCTAAGTAAAAGAATACAGACAATCGCAATCGGTTGGGAAGAGAGAAGAAAAGAGAGAGAGGGGAGCGCTTATCAAAAAAGAAAAAGGGAAAAATGGGAGCCGCACCGTCTCGTGAGTCGACGACGCTTTACTCGTACTTTAGAGGGACATATGAGATTGGTTTGATTCCCCTGACAAAGGCCTTCTTTGGTCTTCCAGGGGATCCCCATAGTCGCACCACAAACAAAACGGAAGAAGGAGAAGAAGAAGAAGACGTGGGGATTGGCCTTCGCTACAAGCAGGAGCCTCATGTCTCTCAGACAACATCGACAGCGGCTCATCTCAGCAGTACAATGGAGCTACGGCGACAATTTGTCATTATGCGTAGCGATCCGGCCATTTTATACGCCAACGCACGTGGGAAAGTCTCTGCATCGTGGCCAGAACTTCTTTCGGATGCCTTTACTGAGGAAGATCTGGACGCCTTCCTGGATAAGGTTGAGGAACGGATATACAACACTGATGCGGAGATGTTTGCCAACACTAAAAATGCTCTCATCCCTCTTCCATGTGCCCTTTGCCTCGTTTGTAAGGATGGACAGGAACGGTCTGGGAGTTTCTTTTGGCGTGGACGTAGCATTGTTGTCATTGGGTACTTTGCCTGCCTTCCAGAGGACCTCCGCAGCGCATTTAAGGTGGCAAAAGGAAAACTGCCAGAGGGAAAAAAAGGAACAACGGGCACCGACAATGACGCCAAACACACTCTTTCTTCCACCTCACAAGTATCACTCTTCTTAAATGCCGGTGTGCTTGCCTCTGCTGGTGACCGCACACTTGAACGTGTCCTTCTCCTGGCTGCAGTCATGTTGCGAAATCAGTATCTGGACTCCTTCTTTCATGTCTTTGCTCCAACACCGATTCCCTCTTCCTATACCGGGGACGTATTTCAGAATATTTTCAACACTGAATTTGATGCATCTCCATTCTTTCCACACGATGGAATGTTCCTTGACACTGCAGCTCGCGGTAAGAATGCTACTGCGCAACAGACCAGAGAAGAAGCCTTAAAGACTCTGGAACGTCGACTACAAAACATTACTGTGTACGTGGAGACGGCTGTGGATAATTATTCTTCGCTAAAGTCTTTGACGGAGAATGCTGCCTTCTTGCAATGCCAAACGAATTTGAGACCAGGCTTATGTTTTATGGACTTGCCACAAGTAGTGCTTGATGGATTTGAGCCCGCTGGAATAACTGAAGAAAATACCGAAAAAACCGCCGATGGAGAACAGGAAGAGGCAAAATTACATTCTGCCCGAGCGTCGCTCGATGATACAACCACGGCGGTGGAAAACACGAAACAAGATGGGGAAACGAGTAAAGTTGGGATCCATGAGGAGACATTGGAAAAAGCAAAATTTCCGGAAACGGATGAGAAGGCATCAACAAAAAATTCTGCATCTGTAGAGCTGGTTCGGGTTTGTTTTACGCCGGAGTATGTGGTGAAGGCCACCATGTGGGCATCCGGTCTTCTTAGTTCACCCACCGAACTTGTTGGTGGAAGCTGGGTACAGTACAAGCTGAAAGATGAAAGTGATGAACTTCGACAGACATTGCATGGGAAAGACTCTATTGTGGCTAATTGGAGGGAAATTTGCAAAGATGTTGCCGGCAGTTACATGGGGGAAGGTACGTTATCACTTCTTCGACATGTGAAGGCGCTTCGGGATGAAGTAGAGAGGGCTCGTGCGATTTCTTTAAATTCATGGTCCGTAGACAAGTTGATTCAAACTCGAGAGGGCCGCACTTGTGCTCTGCATCACACATCTTTTGGCACGATGCTTGTTGGCATTCGTAGCCGACGGGATGGGGAAAACATACGGGGTTTGGACAAGAAAAAGCAGTCTATACGAGAAAAGGCGGGTCAGGGATCAGACAACGACACATCAAATTATGCCGCTGCATCTCGTAATTCCCGAAACCGTGCCGGTAGTCATTCCCATGCATCATCGCAGTTTCAGGGTTTAGGGCATGGATCAACCTCGGGAGGGATGCACCTTGATACCTTGTCTAACATGTCTCCCATGCTAAATGCAAGGTCTATGGGAGGAGTCCCAACAGGTCCGATTTACGGCGCTGCCCCTGGAGGGTTTGTTGCTCCCCTCCCTTTCGTGCCGGAGATGCAGATGCCCTCTAATGTTGCGTTTCAAGGGAACATGATGCTTGCACCTATGATGGTTCCTTTTATGGGAAATGGTATGAGGGACGCTTCAGTAATGGAACGAAAGGAGCAGCAAGGTGCTGTGGCAACACCACCGCTGTTCCATACTGTTCCTTTTTCTACAGCTCCAATTGACGCAAGAGGAGAAAATTTGTCAGGGGTTTACAGCAATAGCAACAATCCCAACAGAGGCGATGGCAAAGTGGTCAATCCGTGTGCATCCGCCTCACAGAATTTCTCTGCAGGCGATGCAAATATAACAGTACCATCATATCCTTTTTCAGTTTGCAATTTGTCCGGGACAGCACCTGCGGGAACTGCGTTCCCTTCATCGGTAAATATGCCTTCACAGCAGCAACAGCAGCAATTTGTGTTGCTTCAACAGGGACCCGGTGGGGTTCCCGTCATTGTTCCCGTCACTTCAGCTGTGCAGCAGTCATCCCTTCCACCACCCTATGGGTTTTCCTATGGTGTTAGCAGTGGCGCCCCCCAAGTTGTCGTGGCCTCGCAGCAGCCATTGGTTCGAGACTCATCGTTGTCCCTGCCCCAGACAAACACTGCAGCCGCCGCCGGTGCTGCTGCTTCTTCTGGCGGGGGCCTGGTTCCTAATTACGTTTACTACATTCCTGCACCCATGGGTGGCGGTGGACAACACGCAATGGGGTTATGCTAAAGGATTTAAAATGTTATTTGGATGTGTTCCCACACTGAATATTCCATTTCCTTTTTTTTAGTTTGTTCCCCATGATGTTTTTTTTCTTTTCTCTTTTCTCTTTTTTGGTTTTTTTTTTTTTTTTTTCTTGTTGTTGTTGTCTTTGTGGAGGGGGAAATGATGGAGAGGGGAAGATGAAAAAGTAGGGGTTATATGTTTGTTTCTATCTTTTCTTTTTGTTTTGTTTTCTTTTCTTTTTTTTTCTTTTCTTTTCTCCCAAGTGTACATGTGGCGTCAACACGTGCTCCGCCAAAGTATAGGAGGTGGAGGTGGAGGTGGAGGGGGAATTGCGAGCGTTGAAAAGGGCACAGATGAAGACTTCTTCGTCATCGTTGTGTTTTTTTTTTTTTTTTTTTTATTGTTATTTTTATTGAATGA